TTAGCCAAATTGTATTTTAGGCATGATATTGCTATCAAATTCCATTTCTGTAAACTTAGAACGTGATTTGGGTGTGCTGACGTTACTATCATGTGTTGACGCATGCTGACGTTGTGTTGACGTAGTGTTGACGTTAATTACTGCAGTGCGACCGGGCCAGCCTAGTACTACTACTAGTAGTAGTACAGTAGTAGGCCCTAGGCCTAACTAAAGTTTGAACTGAATACAATTACAATTACCCCATCCCCAAAACAAAATAATTCTATCCTAACTAATCCTAAATAACTGATATTACTTACTTGAACGTTCTTTACCAAATACTTACCCCAAAACATGGTGATTTAAGTGAATTTGGCATCGAAGTTAAGACAATGAAAAAGCACTCCGACTCCTGAAAACATGCGCGACGGTGGAATTGTACCCAGCCTCCCATAGGTGTCCCAATATGGTGACAATGAATAAAGAAAGTACCACTCTTTTTTGAGCGACAGCAACATTATAGAGGGCGTTATAAAATTTATTATTAATGTGCCCTTTTCAAATGGTCACCCGTTGTTATAAATAACGAAACTCACAAAATGTGAATTTTCAACTCAATCCACATTTTGTTTGGTGTTAAACTTTTTTGAAATTCAACGCTATTAATGCGTGCCAGCGCAGCCCGCGTGCACTGAGCACGTCACTGGAAAAGTATAGGCCTCCTACATTATTTGGCTGACCTGTTTCAGAGAAATCGGACTCTGCTCAGCTCGAGAACTGTACGGTCCGGGGGCGTATGTCCGATTTTCACAAAGCGGGTGCAACTGGTACACAAGAAAGGACAGCAACAAGTTACTGGAAACATCCTATAAAGTTCGACGCTTTGACAAAAATGTACTGCAGCGATATAAGAAATGACCGTGACAACGGGGGCGGATTTCGGCTCCCAACTCTTGAGTCGGATTAAGCAGGGCACGTGAAAACTGTTTAAAAGTTCCGTCACTTGAAATCCCGACGAGGGGCTTGACAATATAAACATGTTTAATCAATAATTTCCCCCTGCATGGCCTAATTATCCCTCAGAACGCAATAGTATGTCATAAAAACTCAAATGTGAATTGTAGTGGTGAGAAAATAGAATCATTTTCTTAGAAAACGCTTCGAATTTTTCAGACCAGCCTCATGGGTTTGTGCACAGGGTGTGGCAAATCGACATCATTAAGAACTCACTCCAGGAAATCTTTAGAGAAAGCAGTATCTTTAAGATACAATGAAACTGAAAAATGGAAGAAAACTGAAATTGTAATACGTACGACTTTGTTAAACTTTCAGGTAATTTCATACAAATTAAGGTTCAATTAAGTGTTGATTTAAAAATCCAAATACAGAGTGAAATATGTTGTTGTTCCTTGAACTCTTTCGGGCCACGGTCCACAGACGAATTTCAACAATTGAAAGATCTTGCTCATTTCCATCCATGCTACAAATTCAACCGAAAACGGAAAAGAATTGAAAATTGAAGCTCTAGCTGAATCACACAGTTAACATTCGATTCACTACCGAATGTGGCGCCTGCCTGCTCAAAACCGTCACGACGGTAAAGCGATTGGTTTTATGTACAAATGGCCCTTGCCCTTCTTTCCCGTGCAGCGACAATGCGGTTATTACGAACAGGCTTATTGAAAAGAATGCAAACATAGTCCTGTTTGTTTCTTGGTTTCTGGTTGGTTCGGTTAATTTGGTTCCGTTCTTATTTTTTTTTTCTTTTTGTGCTTTTGTATATACATAAAATAAATTCAAATTAAAAACTATTATTCATTCATGTAATGCATGCACTAACTTTAAAATTCCAAATGAAATTGTCTTAATCTCTGCAACTACATGCGATAGAATATATGGGATTAAAATGAAAAAAAATGAACCATTAAACAAGACTATAATACATAAAAGGCACATCAACCAATATACAAAATTCAACTCTCTATTTCGGAAGATATCAGTTGCCTTCAACGTAAAATTATGATTACGTCCAGCATTCAGAAACAGATGCAAGGGACTGGGAGAGGGGCATTATTAAAATACAAGATCAGAAAGAAAATTTTACAGTTTTCCTCAGAAAAGTTTAGGAAACCTGTACATATATAGCCTATGGAAGAAAGAAATGGAAAACGGTTGGATTTTAGCCAATAACTACGAAACAACTGAGATGTTAATGGCACCTTGCTACAACACGGAATATGGGAAATTATTGTTGTTGGGAAAAGTCTACACTTGGGGTGGGAGAGAGGCATGAAGGGATCGATTATAATGCATGGCCCCTAAGAATCACCCTCTTCCGAGCACAGATACCGAACCAGGCGCAGATTCGGGGATGCAACCCCCCCACCACCACCACCGATAAAACAAGGAAACATTGGGGAGGATAATTTTTAAAAAGTAAGTACGGCAATATCAATTTAAACAATGTATGTCATATATAATGTTTCATCGTTTCCGTTTGTATGCAGAATAAGATATTAACCCCTCCCCCGAAAAATTCTTGGATCCCCCCGTGAGCGCTGGTATTGAGGGATCCCAATACGACGCTTTTAGCGTCGATCTGCGCACTTACGCGTTTGAAAACGAGGCTGTACGTGTCAGCTTCAATACTTGATACGATCAAACGCTTGAAAGTAAGGAGTCAAGACACAAAACACATAACGGTATGTTAAATTCAGACTTTTTAGGCGGCACATTTTTGTGGAAGAGTCTTTCAGGACTACTCGACACGTAAAATCAAGAGAAAAAAACGACAATTGACCGCGAACTAACGCACCTGCGATGGTCCTGTATCTTGTGCAGTGGGCGTGGTTTAAAATGAAGTGGCGTCACACGTACGAACCGGATACTCCATGTACTGTGTGGACTCAGAGTCCGCGGGCGCGCGCGAGGAAGTCAACACAGAGAGCCTCAGTTTCGACGCAGATATGCGCAGACGGCGCTAATATGAAATCCCTCTATGGCCTCATCAGCCAGGATATAGACTTATCCGATTAGACGCCATAACTGCGCATGCGGTGGCACCGCACTCACACGCACATTCTTTAACTTGACGCTCGTGTGCATTTGGTAAATTTGGTCGAAGAGGCATGTAACGCACGCGTACCACCTGTCCTCAAGCACTGTGCCATCGCAATAATGGTTTCTAATTCTGGTGTTCGAATTACACTATACCAAATCTACAATTAATCCAGTATTACTCCATGATCACATTTTCAAAACTTCTATTCCTTGGTATCCATACACTATAGCACATTTTTAAAATTCATTTTATGACAAATCATACTACTTGTTGAAATAGAATGTATCCAAGGCCATGCCGAACATATGTGCGGAGGCCTGTTTTTCCGTATCAACTACCGAAAGTTGTGACATATCCACGGCCAAAAACCATGGCCAACGCTCCTCTTGCTACACTTTTTTCCGAACAAACGGAAAGGGCAGCGGGGTGCTGAGCATGAGCGCAAGTCCCGAGATCATCGAGATCATTGGGTATCCCCCCTCCCTCAAAAAACCCTTTTGGGGGAGGATAGGCTATTGAATCATCCCCACCCCCCCCCCATTCTGGCACAAGTTACGCCAGTGGTTCCGAGCTCTCCTTGTTCAAAGCAATAGAAGAAGGCTGAAGCATTGCTTGCAAAAAGTACGAAGGCTTGAGTATCTCCGAGTAGCGGCATCGGGCAACCTTGGGAAGAACCGCCTTGAAATGAGGGTGACCAAACGCGTAGATGATGGGATTCACGCAGCTGGTCAGTATGGCGATGGTCATACTGTAGACGACGAATTTATGGTCGGCTGACGCCACCAGCGCGATCAGAAAGGGCAACACAAGTAGCAACATGATGCAGAAGGCTATCAACAAGATCTTGGTGGTGGCTTGCTCCTGGTCTGGGTTGGTAATTTTCTGCCTGGTGGCATCGCGGATACTGATCTCCAAGAAAAACATCCTCCTTTCAGTCACCACCACTTCATCGTGTGGCTGGTTATCAACACGGAGTGCCTGGTCTCTCTTCTGCAGGACCGATCGGGCGTAGAGCACCGCGTAGGAAATCACGGCGATGGTCAAGGACAGCACCAAGCAACTCGACTCGATGATTTCGTAAGTGAATTTCCGGCCATGAAAACCGTCCTTGGTCGAGCAGATTTTATCTTCGGGATAGTAGCCGGGCTCACTAATTTCAAGAACGTAAGGGAGGAAAACGATGGTGCATGATACGACCCACGTGGTCGCAATCATGCCGATGACTTTCCTCGGAGAGTACAACCTTCTGTAAGTCGCTCTGCACACGGTCGTAAGAACCAAGCGATTGACAGCTACGGCGGCCAGCGTGAATACACGAACGCAGAGGCTGGTGTCAAACTGCAAGGCGGCAACGGTGCAGGGGACTTCTGACGCCAGGGGCCAGCCGCCTGGGCTCACCTGGGCCACGATCATCCACGGATAGGACAGACACGACCACAGGTCTGCTACGCTGAGGTTGACCACGAAGGCATTGGTCACTGTGCGTAGCTTCTTGGCGAGTAAGACTGACAGTATGACAAGAAGGTTGCCAACGAAAGCCAGAGCGGTCATAAAGGCCCAAACACAAGCGATGGCGGTGACGGCGTGTGAGGGCATCAACGCCAAGGTTTCATTTTGCTTGGACATGGTTGAGATGAGATGTGTAATGATCACTGAAATGCTTCACATGGAGCTCAATTCGGTAATAATGTAGGCGCTGCTGTACCCTCTGCTTTTGCTGGATTCGGGATAGATCTGTATACCAGACTGCAAATGTTCGTCGGCATGCAAATGAGCAAAGAGTTGCGACTCGTGAGTCTATAACATAATAGGATAACTCGGGTTTGCAGATATCATTGCTGGTTTCCTGTTTATAAAAGGAAGGTGAACAGAAATGTAGCATCAGTACCGCTATTCCATTCAGGCACTGTAGGTTCAGAAAGTTTTGGTACATTGCTCGGTTATCATTCCCAGAACCAATTCGAATTCTTCGGTTTGTTTTCAACGAAAGGCACGTAGATAACGTGAACAAAGGCACTATCAAACATGCAACAGATTATTAGACTTTGAAAACGAAAGTTGTAAATTAGTTGCCCAATGAAGAAAAATACTCCAGACACTTCATGTTTAATTTTCCTCGTTGAAATCACCTATCAATTCAAATTTCATTGAAATAAACAATAATTATTCAAGACGACAGGTGTATAAAAATGAGGAGGCACAGAAATTTGATCGATATCTGTGAATTAATTAATCATATGAATTTAGTGCAGATGCTTCATGTTTAATTTTCCTCGTTGGAATCACCTATTAATTATTTTCACTGGAATCAACAATAATTCAAGACAACAGGTTGTATAAAACTTAGTGGGCACGGAAAACTGTACTAGCAAATAATTCCTGCGCATTTCCAAATTTTGTTTCGTTCAAATTCCCAGACCGTTAACTTCAAATTCGTCTCGAGGAGACTAGGACATGCAAATGCTACAATGATTTGTTTTTTTATCACGGTCAATCTTTTTCAACAATTTTCCATTAGATTTCGTAAGATTTCAATAGACCTTTTCTAACCTGATGGAAGGATCAATTTTTGTTCCATTGATCCAAAGAATGTTTTAATCAAATTCATCGGATGGTACACAACCATGTACAGACGTCTTTGATATGGTGTATTGCAATTAAAGACAATAAATTGAAGGTTAGACAGTCCAAAGAGAAAGGAAGAAATGAACTGACTATTTTGTGACAGATGTGAAAATATACATTTTGCTTTCGGGAGTTTGGGCCTAAAATTATTTCTTGCATGAAGTGAACAGTACATGTACATGTATAAACATTTTTTTCCAGCTGTTAACGCTTGAACGCACAACCAATACAAACGATATGACTTTATTTAAGGTTACAGATCTATGTTAAAACAACTAAAAGTAAACATGTTTTAAGTAGAAAAGAACAGACGGAAACATAAAATACCGAAGAGAGTATCGAGTGACAAATTTGAATGAAACTGATATAACATTGATCGCAAAATGACGAAACTGATTCATCTACTGTACGTTCAACAAATACAGACATCGAATTGTCTTTCAAGAAAACATGTAGTACATGGTACAAAATTAAAAGTTAAAAACTGAGCGACTAAAGACGAAAGTAAACATTGGACATGAAAGGTCATGAATTAAAGGAACGAATTTGAAAATATACGTTTAAAACTTTGAACTGAGAAAGGTCAAAAACTGCGTGGAAAATTTAGATTCGTTTTCACAGGAATGCCACAAAACTTAACACCGGACAAACGCCTCTCTACCCCCAACACCCACCCTACCCCAACCCCAAAAAGGGACAATTTTCGATTCTTTTATATGAGAGGAAGGCGATTTTTAGAACTACACTATTTCGTTTCCTTTTTTTTCAAAAGTGTAAAATGCTCTTAAACTGTAGCCTCAACCCTCAGAACAGCTATTGTAAATGACAACACCAAGAAATTTCCAACAGGCCCCTCGAAGAACATCTTAGCACCACAATCTTCGTTCTGTATCCATCCTTGAAACTAAATGATAGTTACTCTAGTGATGGTTCATTAATAAATGATTCTATCTAAGGCATGAATGTTATGAACATTATCTAATACAATACAAAAGGACTGGTAACCGATTCATTTTTCTTTTGTGCGAAGAAACATTAACATCTTATGCTTTTTACAAAGTAACATCTATAAGAACAACGAATTAACAGATTTTGTTGTAAAGTCCTAATACTAGAATATTTCACCTTTTTCCCCAGAGATTCTGGTTTAATATAAAGTTGTAGAACAAGATTTCATTCTCCACATTGTAATTATTAGAAACCAAGCAAAGATTATCTAAATAAAAACTTCCATCAGACAAAACATTTTCAGTGATGGTTTTGACAATGATCATTGCAAATCATACTTCAACAAGTAATGTTTGTCTATTGGCTAGATAATGCTTGATGACGCTGCCAACTCATAAATGTCACACGATGTTGTCTGCTAGGAACAAGTTTTCATTTGTTTTAATTTTAGTGCAAAATGCACTTTCTATTTTTGCGACCAAATCTATGGCAATCATGCTGGTGCAGTATTAAAAAACCCAGTACTGATGAATGTGCTAAATTCTAATAAACTCTTCCTTGAAACGAACATCAGGTTGACCAGTGTGCATTACTATTTCAATCTCTTCCTAGAATTTAACAGAATCCTGGCCCAGTCACTGGCTCAGCTTTCAGACCACGCCTGTAATCAACACCATACACATTCCTGAATTAATGTTTTGTTTCCTAGATGTGTCCTACTGATGCCAGTGATGTTCCGATGTTCCTGCATGCATGAGTACATTACAAACTATCCAATCATCTGCGTGTAGGCCAGTGGCAAATCCGGGGGGGGGGGAAGCCCACTTCCCTTGGAGTCACATTGCAAATTTGTTTGGAGGAACTGAAACTGCCGGTACTTTAGAAAAACAAAACTTTCCTTAGGGCAGGGAGAATGCAAAACATGCGGACAATTGTTTTTAGACAAAAATTCAAATGTTGGCCTCTGGAGCCAAGAATTGGATATGTACACCACTGATGTGAGCACACTGAGCCACTGCAGTAATAGCTTCTAACACTTGATGTCAGATTGGTCTATGAGGGCTAATGGCCCCAAATTGGCTAAAATATGGGAATAAGTGAGGATGAACACATGGAAGACAACATCCCGGGAGCACCAGATACCAGATCTCAATTTCAGCTCTCTTGTTTTTTTCCTGACGTACAGTCAGGTTGGCATAGTCGTGCCTTGCTCACTTTCCACCACAGCAGCCCAGGGTTCCAATTCTGTGCAGCCCGATATGTGGATTGGGTTTTCAGTCCCTGATACCATGGGTTTTCCCAGAATAATATCTGAGGCTTTCTTCCCCTCTACAGCTGAACAATTCCTTATTGTCTTCTCCCCCATGACCGATAGGGCTTTACCTTAAAAACAAAAAGTACACCTAGCAGTGATACAATTACTTACTTGACCATACGGCACCTCTGTTCAGCTAGCCTGGGTGCTGCCTTGTTTACATCGCGAACGTTCTCTGCACTCCACAATCGTTCAGCAACTGCACAGCCACGTGGCCTGAGAGTGGATTATTTGCATTGAGAAGTCAGGCCAATTAAAAGTGTTTCAATGAATTAAACCAACATTTGGTAATTACACACTTCAGAAACAGTGCATCATTAAATGCATCAATCATTTTAATCATTTTAATTTTGTATCATTACCAGCTCCTCTGAATCAGGTTGGTGGCATCCACATACTCTCCCCACATGCAGGCCTCTCCTCCAAACACCAAGGCCTTCTGGGCTGCTGTACCTGAAAATCATCCAGAAAAATGGTCATCTCAACACCCAATAAAACTTTGGCCATGGGGCATAACCCACAAAGAGGAAAGTTGCTTGATGAAAAACAGTAGGAAAGAAGTGCCTTTTATTTCTTCATTTAAGCAATGTTGGCTGATAAATAAGCAGTGTATTAAGCATCCCTTTTCCCACTCTGATAATCTAACATGCTAGATTAGGAAATAAAGCCTGGTAACTAGACATGGTAGAGTTTGATAACAGTACAGTACACAAGCTAGTGATGAAACCTAGGAGCTGAGTATTTGGAAATGAAGGAATGCTGGAATGTTGAAGTACACGTGCATGTATCTGCAGAAGGATTCATAAATACCTGAACATTTTTGCATGCTTATTATTTTCCAACCACTCACAAGACACTGACACAAAGGATTCAGTCTACATAACCTACATCACCTAGGCTTATTACTACTACACTACCTCAGAAATCTGTTAACTTTAGGACTCAGAAAAGTACTTGAATGCAACACTGGCACTAAGTCTTCATTTTAAGTAATAACTTTCTTGCAGAAGGGGGTACAGCAATACATTAACTTACAAAGAAAACATGACAGATTTTGAAAGCATTTAAAAGCAATTGAAGAAAGTCCCATGAAACCAGGAAGTACATGAAGGGTTCAAAAGAGTAACTTTCCTCTAGGTGTTTTTTTTTTTGGCGTGAGGCTTTTGAAAGACAGAAAAGGGCAAGAAACAACCTAAAGAGTCTTGGTTGTGGCGTGGACAATAAGCCCACTTGAATGTGGGCTTATTTGTACCGTGCCATTTTCCAATACTCAACTTCGGCTCCGTCTCAGGCTTCAACTGTTTTTTAACTAGCTGACGTTGAAGCTGTAAGTGCAGTAATTAGTTTAATAGTGCTGCAAACATCAAATAAGATGCAAGAGAGCCAGGAATTACAGTAATCCAATTTCATTTAAACGCTTAGGGCCCACAATCGGGGATTAGTTTTGGAATTGAAGCCTCAGACGGAGCCCAAGTCGAGTACTGGAAAAGGGCCCCGGATTCTGCCACTTCAAGCTATACTCGAAGGAAATGAAAGGCTTTTGTATTGTAAATTGAATACACTGGCATCAGCAAGAACACAACAAATACTGGCAGTGGTGAGGACATACTGTACATCTTTAAAATGCTTATGTTCCAATAGAAACCTGAAGACTACCTGTTACTTATGCATGCGTGCATACAACGCTTGGCAAGTGGGAACACCCTGTGGAAAGGAAGGCCTTTGAGCTACAGTTATTTAGTTACATTTTTTCTTTCCTGGCATGTGCTACATTCTTCATATGTCCTTGTCCTTGGGTTTTGTTTTGTTCTATATGTACAATGTATACTTTGTATTGTCAATGCCAAATAAATAATAGTAAATTACATGTATGTGCGGCAGTCAACGTCTTAAAGTACTGTATGTGTACCAGTATGGCATATGTACTGTTATTGTCTACAAAAAAGGCAAAGTTAACTGAAAATTTCCAAGCTAAAATTGTTGTTATTCATGAGCTCAGTAAATGCCCGGTTAATTTTCTTTTAAATCTCTTGCCATAACCACTAATAAGGTACTATTAACCTCTTACCCATTTTCTCTGTGTTTGGTATGCATTAGTAATAACTGCTTAACCATGAAACATGGACAAATCATAAAGAATAAACTTTTTAAATAAATATTTACTGTATGGCCCTGTGGACTTAGGAATGAATTACAGATAGCAGTACTACTGTGGCTCAATTGCCAACAAACAAGCTTACACCGTATTCATGTTCATGTGTAGTGGAATGCACCTGTGCTTATAGACACATGATTTGTTCTCACATAATAAGATATTGGCTTGTCAATGAATATGGTATGGAATAAAACACAATTATCCTTCAAATGAATCACTGGCGGCGGTAGCAGGGGAGGAGCAAGGGAGCCCCCCCCCACACTTTTTTGACTTAGGGATAATGCCCCCTCCCACTTTTGGCAGGCCCTTTACTCTGGCTCATGCACGGTGATCTCATAAATGCCCCTCCCCCCACTGTTCAACGAGCACTGTCGGGACAGGTATGGTTCTAGAAGAGCTCTGGTTCTTTATGAACTCTGGCTATGTTCACAGGTTCAAAAAGCATGGGATGAATGGGTGAAATAATGATTTGACACCCCAGAACTTGCAAATGATTACCGTTAAACATCAAGGGTTCAACTGCATAGGCAGTCTTCCAATCCTGACCATATGGATTGCCAGCATAGTTCAGATACCAAGGTGTAGACAACAGAGTCTTGTAACCCAGGCGGGTGACTTTGGCCAGTTCTTCTTGCCATGGGCCTTTCCACACATGGACTACCGCATTAGAGACCACCTTGAACAAGAAACAGAGATGAAGCTGTGCAGCATATTTGCCAAAAACCCTCCAGTCTCATTTGTTGCCTGTATAGAAATTGTGGTGTCAAAGTACCTAGCTGTACATAAGTTACTTTACTGATTTGTTCTTTGGAGACAAACTGTCCACTAGATCATTGCCTGGCAGGAAATTTACTGTTTCTATTAAAACAATGTGCACTTTGAACAAGTTCTGACAGCATTTGGTCAATAAAAACAGATGTTAACTGACAGGTACCAGGTGTCTGGCGTGAGTGCCGCATGACACTGAGCAGTGACAATGGGTCAAATGATTATTTTGTCAATCACTTCATCATGTTTCACTGTATTGCACTGTCCCAACACAGATGTGTGTTGATTTCCTGTATTCACCGTGGAGGACACCACATGCCCTGTCATACAGGCAGCTGTTTCAACAACCCCTTCTTTCACAGAAACTGTACTGTGGCAATACCATGGGACTGGTCACTTTTCGTCAAAAGCAAAAACATCTGCATGCTGTCGATTGCTTTTAGTCAAAACTGACACAAACTTATATTCTGTTGAAAAGTGACTAAAGGATTATTTTGCACTTTTTTACTTAGCACATGCATGTACAATTGCACTTGTTTGTGTACTAGGCAAGGAATGATACATGTATCTCTCAGGAAATTCTGCCACTCAGCCATTTATGATGGCCAACACAAAACAGCCACATTATGTATCAAGCAACTGTAAATCACTTGCATTAGTAATGTCCTTGAACATAATGTCACATGCACATGTGCTTCCAGGATTCAGTATCGTAATGTATCCTTGTTAGAGTATAGGTCACATTTAACAATCTAAAATTTAAGGAGCACATGCACCCAAAATGTTCTCATCATGCTTGAAACTTGTTTCTGAAAAATATGCTTTTTCCTTGGTATATAATATGAGTGAAAACAATTAAAAAAGCCAGGCTAAAAATAGTGTACATGGGAAAGTCACACAACAAGGAAGAAAAATAGGATTTAAACAAAATTAAAACAGTATTTGTGCTGAGTAACCAAACAAGAGGAAAACAGGAAAAATGTAAAAACACAAACCTTCCTACATGTAAATGGTACATGTAAATTCTTATTTTACAAAAGCACGGGCATGCACTAATTCTCTGGTAGCATGCCTACAGTGTACATGTAATGTGCCTTCTTGATCCCAAGATCTCTAAAGAAGGACCTTGTTATCAAAAAGGATGTATTATGATTTTTCCAAACTGCAGAAAAGTGGAAATGCAGGCACTGAAACAGATATTGCTCTCTGAATGTAAATTTCTCAAAAAACATGCATGGTTATTTACCTCTTCAAAGTTACAACATCACATAGTTGTCTGATAGTGATAAAATATTAATTGACAGTAACAGGGGATTTTGTCTTCCCATAGATATTTTAAAATGTTCTTATGATGGGCTGAAAAAATAATCATGCAAAATCGATACATATACATACATGTATGTCAGATGTGGTAGTCAAACTTAGCACAACACTTACACCTGCATGGGTTAGGGATTTGACCTGCATGTACATGTTCTCACCTGTTATACTTTAATGTACAAAATACGTCTTCAAATCTTCTTGTATCATATACTTGATTTAGAACAAGGATGGATGATAGAATTGTCACACTTGTCTACTTTAAAAGCCCTGTTACTATTAGGATCGATTCTTTCCATCACTCTCTCTGTGAAAAATCAAATTCAGGCTAAGAGCATTTATTGAACTAACATGGCTCATAGACCGATTGCACCTGCTAAATCACATGACCTAGCTACCCATATAGTGGGTATCAATTATCAATATACATGGCATCCTCACATAGCAAAGTGTGTTACAAGTGTTATTTACTAAATATAAGCTGAAAGTCAGTACAGTTCACAAACTACTGATGAGCTGAGTACCATACAAAATAGGCTTTATTTAGCATGTTAAGTAACAGTAACACTTAACCCACTTTACTTCCAGAGGACATGCATACTGTTTGTTGATGTTTGATGCTGGGCTATACATGTACCTAAAAAAGTCAACTTAGGCCCCACAAAAAAAACAGGTAGCTGTGTTTCTGGTTAGCTGACCCAACATGTACCTATTGGGAGAAAATCACGCGGGGCCCATATCCTTTTTTTGACAAATCAATAAAATATAAACACTGATATGATGGTGCCTTGCCCGAACCTAATTTGGTGTACATCGTCCTGTAAATTGTGCTGTTCTAATCTTTTTTTTGCATGAGATGGACGGCTCTTGTGTGTTTGTATTTCAACAACCAGCTGCTTTACTACTCAACCACAGTGCTGATCTCTAATACTGATGTACACATGCACAGTATACACCCCCCCAAATACAGACCATCCTCCAACCCTAGTTTTTGGGCTATAAAAATTTAGAGTAAAAAAAAAACATTTTACCCAACCAACCACCCTAATCTATTTTTCAGTGCAATAGGAAACACAACTAATTTTTTGTTTGGCTTTATAGGTCTGTTAGGAATCATCTGAACCTTAGCAAGCATTCAAGTATGAAGCAGCCCACCAGGATACACCATTACAAAGTACATGTGTAGTCATTTTCAGAAATCGTTTTCATTGCAGTTGCAGGGTTGTTCCCTCCTGCCATAGTGCATGCACAGGCCAAGAGGGTACTGTAAACTATGGCTTAAACTTAAAGGCTGCATTAATCCACAGAACATCCTGTCCAGCAATCACACAGTGAAACTGCTTATGATGTAATTTCATCTGTTGGTTACCTGGCTATAAACAGCCAGCAATCATCACAGTGACCTCAACCATGTCCTTGCTGTTACAAACCAACTACTGCTGTGATTCAAATTTAAATAATATTTAACAGCCCATGTACATGTACTAGGGAACTGTATTTATATTGTAATTCATGGTGGAATAGAACAAGAGTAACTGTATGCTGCAAGTATGAGAAACAGATGTAGCGCACCCGTAAGTTACACTTGATCACAAGAAAGTGAAAAGGTGCAATCTGTTTCCAGTCGTGCATGGTGATTTCTCATGAAGACTCAAAACAAGGATTACACAAAACAACTGCCTTTTGAAATGGAGATACATGTAATTGTGCTCAAGTGCTTATGATGGCAGTGTACAATGTACATTGTGTGTACTGATGACACCCATTTTATCCCCAAAAGCACTGTGGTAAACACTGTGACACATCAGCACATCCGTGTATGGTTATTCCCCACAAAGCCAATCAGGGGTTAACATGGTTGAAGGATGTGGAGTGCCAATGGAGTCTGGGTGAGGTGAGCCTTTCAAACACTAAAAACAAAAGGACAGTGGTCTTGGAAACATTCTCTGCATCCAAACACACAAAAAAGCAACAAAGGAAAGTGACATCCAAAGGAAAAAAAACAAGTCAGAAGTCAAAACAAGTCCAAACAATAGTACAAAACCGGGCAGAAGGGTAAAAAATAATCTAAGGCAAAGAAATAAAAAAGAAATTGCATGACAGAGAAAAAAACGGCGAAAACAGGTTTCAGTTGTAAAAGGAGAGAAACCAGGTCTGATGGTTAAAAATGAACAAACAGATTACAGCTAAACAGATATCAAAGAAACAGAATTTTAGTTGGAAGTGGTGTAATTATATCCCCAATTTTCAGGACATAAAAATTATATTAAAATTGGTGGATTAAGGACTGTCGAAACAGGGTTGAACTCGTCTGAGGGTCCAGTTAGTGGATTCATTTTAACGCATTAAGAGCCATCTGCTAGAAACACTTCATTGCTAAATTTGCACTGCCCTGAAAGAAATTTAAGCTGTAGGTTTAGATCTTTGAAACGAATTAAACAATATTAGAAAATATTTTAAATGAAGCTCAAATGGTTTTGCTTGTTATTCGCAAAAGTATGTGTATGATGCATGCACATGCTTACTATCTGTTCAATTGGCACACGTGTCATTTCCTGCCACACAAAAAAGCCTCATTTGCACTAATGCAGCACAGTTATGCTACAGCAAACATGTAGATTTATAAACCAGTCTCTTCATGACCATGCATGCACCGCTACCAGGCCAATAGTCAGTCAAAAAGGCGCATTACCATTGAATGCCAAGGGCTCAATTTTGTATATGCCCCTCCAAGGCTGGCCGTATGGGTTACCAGCCGAGTTCAGGTACCAGGGGGTGGACAACAATGCCCTGTAGCCCTTCTTGGTGACATTGAAGAGCTCAGAGGGCCACGGCTGTTTCCAAACATGTACCGATGTTTCGAGATTTACCTGAGGGCAGATAATTAGACTTCAGATTTAAGAAGGAGTACACTGAGATGACAGTGTTACCGGTAGCATGCCGGTATATGTACCTGTATGCATTGGTCAAGGACAAGAAGAATTGATCAGGAAACAATATGCAGTTCCTGGTCCTGCCACTGTGATCTTACCTCTCCCATTTAGCCAGTTAATCACACAGTAACATGTGCAAATGTATATGAAGCAAAATGACTATAACTGTAAGGGCCGCTGGTTGCCTTTTTGTCATATGACGTGAAGTGATCCCAGCGAGATAACCTTAAAAATTGAGCGGATCCACAAGGTACATGAGATTCCACAGCTCCCAATAAGGGCCCCCAAAGTAATAGTTGAGGTACCGGGGGCGGAGAGTAGTACCCTGTAGCCTAGCCTGGTCACCTTAGACATGGCGTCTGTGCAACCTGGGACCTTCCGCACTTGAGCAAAGGTGTCATTTTTCAGCTGTGGATAAGTTGTTCAGCCACAATCTGTGCCATTATGATCTGGAGCATGTATAAAAAAGTTTCTAAAACTGGAAATGTTTGTGCAATTTTGCAAATAACATTACATGCTCCATCAAACTTAGACATACATGTATCATTTTAAAAGCATATCTGAACAGTTGAAGAAACATTTTTACTGTTTTCTTGGTAGTAACTGTACACATGTGTAAGCATGAAGCATTTCTTTTTACTGCAAAGAAGCCGGGATTGGTTCAGTTTATCACAAGTTTAAGATGGCAGAGACTTCTTAAATGTAAGCAAACATTTTTATAATTTCAAAATCTACTGCATTCGTGTAATTCATAATTTGCTAATATATGTACATGTATATGCATGTACAGCAATCAAAGCAAAGTTATTCGCTTTGAGAATATGTGACGCAAGGACTGAAGTGGCGAGAAACACACTAGATTGTTACTTTAATTGACTAAAAATGTCATTTACTCCTTTCAATAAGTTAATATACATGTATATGCACCTTTGTTCATGGCAAGCTGATTTTTCTGAAACTCTTGCAGAGAAGCTATTCCTCTGTATAAGGATATTTTCTCCCAAATGGCATGACGAAAAGTTTCTGATTCTGTATTTTCTGCACTTTCATAAATAATTTCTGATCACAGTTGTAAAAGTACCTCTCATAAAGAGTTATCTTGTTAAATTTAGAAGAAGACAGGAGTTAACAGAAATCGCAGGTACTTGCAGTACTTACATGAACTCCATTATCGACAACCTCCTGCCACACGATTGGTCTAGCCAGCAGATTCTCCACAATACCTAAGAATTTCTTCTCATAGTACGCTTCCAGTTTGGAGTAGTTCTGGCCGAAACCCATCTGTGCCATGAAATGTTGGATGTCCTTGTTGCTCTTCCTGAATGCACAAAAATTTGTCAAGTTCTTGCAGACAGACAATACTTGTGAATATGGGACAATACACAGAATTCAGATCTGGCTGTGGACAGGTACTGTCATACAATATGTCTGCAACTGATCTCACTTCATCAGTAACACATTTATTTCTGTATTACTTGCACGAAAATGCAAACTTTATCAAAGTGGGTATAAAGATAGTCTTGCTAATATCAGGTCCAGCAAGAATTTCAGCAAGTTTCCCTTTTGCTCCAACGAAGAGTAAATGGCAAGATAACCACATTCAGCTGGTGACTGCATGCAGTGCCCATGCTGCATATAAGTGTCCAATATCTCCAAGTTTGGGAGACAATTCTCCATTCAGGAGACCAGTTCTCCAACACGTCCAAACATTTCTTTTCATGTGCCCTGTGTTTACACAAATTTGCAGGTAAAAAGAAAGCTTGAAGTCAAGTGGCGGGCGACATTTTTCATGACCTTTGTGAATGAAATCTAAACAGAGGCATCCCTTTATATCACAGTGTTGTAGTCGAGTACTTTCCGAGTACCAACGTTCTCCGCAAAATACTGAATTGGGTAAGAGGGAATAAAGCCAGGGTGCACAGGCATTTGATGGTAAATGTGCAAAGGTAAGATTACAAAATAAATGTTAGAATTCAGAAACTCCCAGTTGTGTAAAATTTAAGTTTTAAGGAGAAAAGTACTCTGAAAGTACTCGGTCGAGTACTTTCTGAGTACTTTTGTCCTAAAAAGATGGTTTGAAGTCATTATGTTGCTTTGTAATCTTACCTTTATGCATGTACCTTAAAATGCCAATGTACTTCAGCTTTGTTCCCTCCTAACTAGTTAAATATTTAGTAGAGAGCTTGGTTCTCAAAAAGTACTCGACTACATCACTGTTACATGTGTATCATCATTTCAACTTTATCTCAACCTGGATAAAGATGTAAATAATTTCAGGCTTAGGTAACAAGCTGGCCGTGCATTGAGGATTCTCCATCTAGTTGCTTCAGTTGTTTTAGTTTTTAGTTAATTTGACTTAAGATGTGACTTCATTGCAGAGGCATGACATCCTTGAGGTCACAGGATCAAATATCTAGTCAATTTCTTTGTTCATCTTTAGAATTAGTAGACTTGACATGTACAGATACATGTAGGTAGTGTCCTTTGTAGACATGTCTTATTCAGATAACTGTTGTATGTTGTAATGAGTGGAGGATGTTGCAAAATTCAGTGTTATAGAATTTTCACAAATTCATCAAGACAGCCGACTCACCAGCAGTCAAAGCTGACCTCATCCCCTCCAACGTGGATGTAGTTGTCGGGAAACACTTGGAAGACCTCCCGAAAGAACGGTTCCAGAAATTGGTAGGTGGAGTTGAGAATGGGGTTGATGGGGCCATACTGGCCCGTGGGCTTGCCCGACTTGTCCTCACAAGGTGTTAGGAGGCCCTTGACAGAGCCCCAGGACTGGGTGTGGCCTGGGGTGTCAAATTCGGGGATGACCCGAATACCTCGGTCCCGGGCATAATCAATGACCCTCTTCACATCAATCTGATTGTAGACATAAGATGGTGAGTAGGCACCCTGCATAAAATAAAAGCAAAATACTCAGATTTAAAAACCTGGAAAACCTCCTCTCTCCCGAAGCTACAAATTTAGGTGTTATCAGAGAGACAGAGACTCAGAGCCTTTTTCTGCTAGATGCATCTTGGGGAATAGGAGTATGAAGTAATGCATGAGGTCAAATCAAATCTGTGCTTTGAATCACGTCAATAGTTTGGTTTCATGCATGTAAACGTACACAACTTCCAATATTAACCTTTTTGTAGCAACCCCAAGTGCTGAAATAATACAAAATTAAAAACAAACAGTCCAAATGTTTACCCGAAATTTGGTTACGGCCATACATATTATGTCAATGAATCTGGCAACAACAAAAATCTGTGACCACCATATCATGTTACGTTTTTATCAAAGATTTCAATTTGACTTCACTTTGCCACACACTGAGACAGGACTTATCCTACTCTCTTGACAGGGTTATATTTACGATGGCAAAAGAATGTATCTCCTTTAAATTCCAAGTTGTTTCAAGTTTCCAACACAGACGATGAGAGTCACAAGAGAACTGTTTACCTGTTGACTCATGTAAGGGTATGTTGTACTCTCATACGGGAAGGACTGATCATCAACAATGTGCCAATGGAAGACATTAAACTTGTTGTAGGACATTGCATCCTGTAAACAAAATGACAATGTTGTGTTGTTTTTCATTTCTTATTTTACTATTTACGGATAACGTGACAAAACTGACTGCAATTTTGATACATCTGCAGCTGATCAGTGCTTGTAGCAATTCCAGATATTAAGGGTCCTAAAGTGTGACATTTTCATGTCCCTGTTACATCTGACTCTTGTTATTTGACATGGAAATATCACTGGAAATTTGCAATATCTCATCGCCCTTGCAAATTAAAAAAATCAAGACAGGGACACAGAAAAATGAACCCCCAATTTCTGGAATTACCCATCTAAAGCTGCCAGTGTTCTGTCCCCAAACTGTTTCTAGAGAGGCCAATTGAGAGTGCGAATGGTTTCAACATCAACAGCGTTTCAAGCACTTTACTGTCAGAATAAGTATGTCTATGTGGCAGATACTTGCTTGTAGACTGCACTTTTGCTGAAACATTAAAAATTCACCTCCAGATTTTGAACAAACAGCAGCCATCAGCCACAACAAGCTTAGTGATACGAAAGACAACATGATGGAGAGGTACACCTGTACATCATATCCCGGCCTTATGCATGCTATGCCATGCAGAAAGTCCTACCTACATTGTATGATTCTTATCTAAAGTTATAAGCCAGTTTGGATTTGTGCAAAACTACAAAAACGATATGTTTTTCAAGTCTGAAATGTCAGTCTTGGAAAGTGTGAACCTGGTCAGCCAACATGGTCAGTTAACATCAATCAACAGCCTTCAGCAGATTACTGCTTGAAATGATGTTACTTTCTGAAATTGTCCTTTGTCAGCTACATGCAAGTAGTGCGGGGTTGCATGAATTTGCCCACTCCTATAAATCAGAATTGCTTCAGAGCCAAAGATTCCAGTGAAAAATGGATGACACTCAGACTCATACATGTACTCATGTGTAAGGGATACTCCCTAAAATGCACATAATGGGCTCAAATCAAAACTTCATGTGACAGGTGGGCTTGCCAAGCCCTCAAAATGTACAAGCCAGCAACCAAACTCACAAGAAACTGAAGAAGTACATCCAGAGGAAGAAAATGCCTGGAGGAGTCTACCAGGAATCCACGATGCGCAAAGCGTGGATAGTCAGTGATGCTTGTCTTGTTGACTATCAACTAAAATGAACACAAGAATGATGCTAAGTTGAGATTTCATGTCAGATGATGCAAAGATGCCAGTGTTAAGGCATTACTTGAGTAAACTTTGTGTTCAAAATTTCAAGAGACTGTTTGAACAAAGTCTTTTGTAATCAGTTTTCAGTGCACTATTTTTTTGAAATATCCTGTCAAAATTAATAAACCTAGCATGTTGATTCCAAAATTTAAGTGAACAAATAGTTTTCAAATAAGTGAAACTTGAATTTAAATAAAAACTTTCTCTTAAAACAAAAGCTGCTGCAAACTGCTTACTGGCTAACTTGCTGACCAAAAATACAAATCACAAAATAAGAAAGGCCTGTCATGATGACATTTTGATGCTAGCAGAATTTTTCTTTCTGGCCCTTCTTTTATCAATTGGATTACAAACCTGACAACTCCAAATAATTCAACTAAAAAAATCAAATAAAACAGACATTATTTTAATTTGTGACCATTTTTTAGGGTTTGAAAAAAATGGACAACACACAAATTTTAGGAATTAAGTCCATTTGTTTTGAGTCTGCAGTAGAGGGACAACGGTCAATTCTTACCATTGCTAATGAAGAAGACTCATATACAAGTTGGCTAAATGTTTCCAAGCCTGTAGAGAAACATTTCCCATTATTGTAAGACATACATTGTAGAACTTACAATCACAAGTACAGTATAATTCTCAAATCACAGTTCATACACCATGCCCAAGTGAAAGAGTTATTGTGACAACTGCAAATTGTCATAATGAAATTACAGTTAACGGCATGAAATTTGCTTTAGTTTTGCTTTCTCTTCATGCACATGTATGAAATGACCAAAATACTCATATCATTATTTAAACATGTCAAGTTCGGTGGGGAAAAATGGCTCAAACAATGCAGAACAAATCACAATGAATTTACACATCCCAACAATGCTCTGTGCAGGTGTATTCTGGAGGCAGTTGCTGGTACGAAAAGAAATTACAAAATTTGTTTTTGGAATTTGCAGCATCTTTGCCTGCCTACCGGGCACACATGGCACCCATGGCATGTGAGTGTAGCTGAAGCCTCTCTTTTGGCAACCAGGGATGACAGGCTATTGTGTACACAAGGGAAAATCCAGAACCAGATTCATGGGGCCAACATTTTCTTAGAACTTAGAACTTGGGGAATTTCTTTCAGCATTTTTTTATGGCCTAGCTGAATCGTGATGGTAGATTTTGGGTATTTTTACATGTTTTGATGTGGAAGGGAAAATCTCAAAACTGTCTTTCATTTTGCATTGTAGTTCTAAACAGCATATGTTTCCCCCTTGGTTGCACAATGTACAATGACAAACATGCCGGTACCTCTCAATGCACCCCACTGAGAATGAGCTGATAAAACAGCCACCGGTGCGCTGACATCCAATGTATCTGCAACAGAAAGCAATGGAAAAAAATGGAAAAATTTCCAAATCTTCTGGTCTCAGTCTTACGACGTAAAATGATAATTTTTACACGCCTTGGTAGCTGTGATTTTAACTCTTTCCGAGGCTAGGCGCGCAGAGGCCATGCATGCTCAGAATGCTGGATGTCCAGCCCACATGCAGAGACTGTACTCCAAAAGAAATGCGCTGCACACGCTAAGTGTGTCCCTAGCTGCCAAATGCCCAAAAATTCAGTGCACGATGAACCTGTACTGGGGACTAGGGGCGATGGGGGATGACTGAAATATAAAACTTGCCAAAGCATGGAAATTTTAGGGGAAGGGGAAATCACTGGACAAGGCATAACACTGGAGGCACTGTTCAAAACATTTCGGTTGTAGGGAAGTTGGAAAAGGCTATCTTTTTTCTCCCCACCAAAAAAGTGAAAGGATCCCTAATGCCCCCTCTCAGGAATTTAAGCCATGTATTGCTCCCTAAGGAGTGGATTACATAGCTGTTGGCAATGACACTAGAAAGATGACTTTATAAAGTAGGGATGAAGGGTACACTGCCGTAAGATTCAACCTATGTATAGTGGCGGATGCAAAATTTAAGAAAGAGAGAATCAAGGCACTCGGCATTTATCAAAGGGAGGGGGCATCCTAAACGGAGGTGTACCCGAATATACATTGTACAGTACATGTAGGGTAAATGTTTAGTAAGAATTTCCATTTACAAAGTACATTTGGTAACAAAAACTGTTGATCGGGTCAATCATGCCATTGTACACATGTAATTCAAAAATTAATAGATCTTGGAGTTAGGCCATCCATTGTGCCCATCATTTGCAGCTTTCTTACAGCACGTACTCAAAACACTTAATTAAGCGGACAGTTTTCTTCTATTCGGGCAATTACATGTGGGGTTCCACAGGGTACAAAATTGGGTCCAATTTTATTTTTGATTGTTGTTAATGATGCTGCAATTGATTGCTGCAGACCATGGATGACCTGACTCTGGGAGAAGTCCTTAAATTTGGGGATCAATCACAAATGCACTTGTATGTACACCTTTCTCGATGGTGTCAGCAAAATGATGTGCTACCTAAACCATCTAAATGAGCATGAATATTAGTTTTTTCAAACGTCATGTATCCACATCTGCACTTTCAATTAATGGGATATACTTAAATCAGCCAAGTTTCACATTTAAATTGTTGGGAATCACCATACAGAGTTATTTAAAGTGCTATTTGCCTATTACAGAAATAACCTCAAAAGCTTCTCGGAAACTATACATATTGCACAATCTTATGAAAGCTGGTGTTTCCATATCATATGGTTATAACCTATATTTCCTATCAGACCTACATGTATAATGGAAAATGCATGTCCAGTCTGGCACTGCTCTATTACTTAAGAACAAATTTATTTAATTGAAAGGGCTCAAAAACGTGCTTGTCGAATAAATTTGGGACATCAGCATAATAATTATAAGGATTCTTTGATATACTTGGATTTACAAGAGTTAGACGGTCCAATTTATTTATTAAATTTGGCAGGAAATTGCTTGAATCTGACAGGTTCCGCAAAATGCTCCCACCACGGCGAGAAAATGGTTATCAACTCAAAACAACCTCTAATTTGATAGCCCCACGTTACAACACTGAATGTTACAGGTGCTAAACAATACCCTCATTGACTTTTGTGGTTTATTTTTCTGTCCAAAATTTTTAATTGAATTTTTATTATTTTTAGTGCTGTAAATAAAAATGTGTAATTTTTGTAAATTTGAATGGTTTTGGTACTAGGACCATTTTATTCAAATATGATGTTAATAAACCAGAATATTTATGTATGGGGCTGTCCATAATTTTCATCATTTTCACAAGCGTACAAACCACTCATCAGAGGGGGAGGGGGTTAAAGACCTTGTGTACTCTTTTTCTGAAGATTAAAAATGATGATCCATCAATGGATGCGTCAGCTCTCCATCCATCATCATTTTTTGCCCACTGATATACATGTACATGTACACTTTGGAGGGAGGGAAGAAGGTTAGTGAAAAGTCAAATTTTTGTAAACTTATGAAAATGATGAGAATTATGGACGACCCCTAATAAAATACATGTAATTGAGAGCTAAAGGTGAAATCTTCTTAAAAGAAAAAACTGCAAAGTGGGGAAGACTGCACCCCTCTGGATCAGCAACTGAGGTAGGTACATTGAATAGATGAGGTACTAAATATTTCATGGCATACATGTACATACAGTACACATGTTTGTCACAATCACATTTTAGCTGGCCTGAACTGAAAGTGAAACTACAATGTACATGTACATGTAACTCACAGTTCTCTGATGATGATAGAGATGGGTACATTTCATTGCAATCAGTGATGCTAACTGCTAGAGTGGTCAGAGCCACTTGATTCTTGCCATGTGGAGAGCTAAACCGGCCTTCTTGTTTCATCTCACTAAGCTTCCTCAATCTCACTTCGTCAGACAATTTAGGCATTCCAAAGAAGATGATGTTGAAATAGCGAGAGAATGCCTGATCAAGCAGTTGGCAAGTGGTCTGCGATTTCTGGTAAATCCTGATATAAAATCAAAAAAATTACATGATAATTGATCACCAAAAGGCATGTTATATGTTTTCAAAATGAAGAGTGAGTATATATGTTCAGGGTGTTTCTGCATAAACACAAGTATACATGTACAAAATGACAATTCCACAATGAATGTTATTTTAGAACAATGCACTTACATACTGCCAAACAATGTTACAAGAATAAATAACTTGTTTTTACTTTCTCCAGAAGGCATGGATTTTACCCTGCAATGAAAATCTGTCCCACATTGCTACATGTACATGTATTGTCCCAGAATTTACAAAAACACACATGCTTCCGCATCCTCCGGGGCCATGAAACAAAAAGTAATTTTCAGCAGTAAAACTACAACTTCTGAACAAAACAACTTTAATTTTGAGGGAGCGATGTGGGAGAAAAAGGTCTCTTAACATGCTGGACTCAAACCCCACAACTTTTAATGTTACTAATAAAAACATGCAGGGTACAATCAATCTTTGAGTGATCTGTCATTGTCAGTCTTATTGCAAGTCATTTCCTGATAATTCTACAGTGGCAATTGGCTGATGTTCATTTCCAAAATCAGCCAATTGCCATTTCTTTGTACTGTAATACATGTACCCGACTTTAGAAGATTGTTTTGTAAAAGGAAATAAAGTCAGAGATTTCACACAAAATCGACTGACGGTGATCACTCATGATCACCACGTACATGACATGTACATGTAATGTATGTCATGTACATGTACATGTATGTATGTGTGCCAAGTCGCGTACACCAACCAACTCATACGCAATTTGGTCAACTTGTACGCTGACTACATGTATTAATCTTGAATGCTGACCAAATTGTGTGGTGACCAACTTGTGCGCCACAACTTGACACACTGTCAGTTTTCAGTCTGAATTCTGAAGTCGTACACTGTATGACTGGAAAATCGTGCTTTTTGACCAAATTACCAGATGCATTGAACACTGCTCTTTTCAGAACTACATGTAGATATTGAAAAAAGTAATCAATTTTGAAAAATAGCATCAAGATTTAAAAACTGAATTTCACATACTGTAATGTGTTAATGATTTGTAAAAGCAGAGCCACTCATTTACTATGGTGGCTTGTCATTGATAAGCTCAAGTTGAATTATCAAAAGCATCAATACGCACAATATCACACATTATTTGCTAAGGGTGTGGTCATCAAACAGGGAGAAAATCCAGAACAAGGACAACACAATGGCACACATCCTAGTATGTGTCGTACTAACAGACTAATTATGGTACAATTTGTCGTACAAGTTGGTCAGTGCGTAAGTTGATTGCTGTACATGCTGTAAGAACAGTTAGTCAACATACGAGTTAATCAGCGTATGAGACAGTCGGTCGGCATACAGGTTTGCATACACATACAAGTTGACCAGCATTCATCATTACAATCGGCTGACCTTGCCCAACACAGGCCAAGGCCTACATCATGAACACTTTCTTATTAACCATGGTATGCCCAAACAAGAAGTTTGATATCTCAGCTCAGCACAAAGTGTTTGGGGGTGTCACATTCAAAATTAAAGGAAAAAGGCAAAGGTGAAAGTAAAACAATTTAACCTTCTGACACCGACCTAAAGATGCTGGGATCTGCCAACGGATATATCACTTCGGTGGAGGCCATCACTTGTGGCATTGGCCATGGCACACCGGCCGATTGAGGCTGCACTGGTCGGGACAGAGGTGGGAGGCCGAACTCATGTTCGATTTGACTATTCCCTCGTACACTGAATACCGCAGATAGCAATACAGTCAGAACTAATCCCAACATTTTTAACTCAAGGTAGATCAACTTGTTCGGTTGTTTTTGTTTTGTTTAAACGGTAACAACGTTCAGAGCTCACTCAGCTGAGGGTGTACACATGTCGTCAGGGAGGCGAGGCTAGCACTTTTTATTAGCAGCTAGCTAGCTAGCTCAGTGTGTATCACCTGACCACACTTATTACAACCTGCGCTTTCGCCGTCCGTCACATGATCCAGTCACATGATCGGTAGTCTTGTCCCCCTGTATGTCATATCTTTAGCTTCCCGGTCCCAAGCACGCTTCATTGTGCTATAGCTCCATGTTCGTTTCTAATTCTAATGCCGTACGGCTGCTGTATGCCTAAACTTCGGCTTCTAATCAGTTTTGTGTATAAAATGAGTTATTGTCATACACATTCGGTTCATAACCATGAGATTTACCCAAGTTTTTACCTCACCTTAGAAAATTTTACGTTTTTCTGAGAAAACACAGCTGAAAGAAAGGATACCTAGGATTAATGAAACTGCGTTTTGAATTAGGCGTATCGTAACGTTAACACACGGCTACGAGTTTTAAAAAAACTTAACCACAAGCCTTTGCGTTTTTCAAGATGGCTGCACCCATGACGGTACATCATGTACATGTACATGCATTGTGATTTAGCCAGAATTAAACCCATTCAAGTGACGAAAACATATCTTTGGCCTAATGGATCAACTGGAAGAAGCCTTCGCAGGATCGTTATGTGTTGGGATGCGTGTAAACGATACTGCCACACCACACCCAAGATTGTCGCAGTTTAAGCAAAGAGGCGACAAGAGCAGCCAAGACGACCGGCGACGTATTAAATTGGAATCCCAAAAAAGGTAAGGACAGAGGCAATGCTTACTTTTAAAGTTTGGGAATTTTTATTCTGCCAGCTCACACCATATTTACCCTTGTAGTTTTAGGGTATGTAACCATGACAACATGCCAATATTATTAAATCCAGTATCTGGTCCTGAACTGAAGGCTGAAACATTGTCATGCATTACTTAGGGATGTTACAATCCACGTGCTTGTTGTGGTCGGAATGTCGCTACCGTACATGCATGGGCTTTTGCAGGAACATGGAAAGCTGTCCCTGCAATGACATATTTCTGTGGGTTATAAAGAGGTATTCCCCAGTAGGTCATCAAAATGACGTATTCTAGTCACTTGGTACCATCCTTCCAAAAAAAAATGGAGGTCCTAACTTCTAGGGATCGTCTGCTCCGTCTTAACTTTGGGCTTACATTCAACGTCTCACTAATCATGTACAAGATTATCATCCTGGAATAAAAGGTATGCATTTCGACAGAAAAATATCTTACCTACAAGTACTTTGTGATGAAATTTGAATGGAATCAGACAATGTGAAGTGTGTTTTTTTGGCCCAAGTGTTGGCAAAGTTTGTGATTTTTGAGCAGTGATCGTGCAATGCCAACATAGCCTACATAGTGTGTATTACATTGTATGGTCATCGTTCAACCCCATGCACTTAGGTTGTCATCACACAAATATGAAAGGTAATAATAAGACGTATACTGGAATATGCATTCTGTCAAAATGTTGTATAAAATGGTGATTTTGACAATATAGGTTGTGGATGTTTGTGGATTTCAAACACATACATGTACATGAATCAGTGATGAAAATTCACCACATATTCGAGCAATTTCATTACGTATGCTAAGATACATGTATGTATGCTATATTTTATGGGGTACATGAATGCCATTGCTGTATTTTGTGGGTGTTTGTTTGAACCATTATACCATTTTTAGTACCAACACTCTTTTGAAATTAATTTCTTTGATCAACAACATGTTCTTGGAACACTAACATTTATCATTAGGAAATGGTAAACAAATTTGGGTTTGCTCTATGCAAGTACATGTACATGTAGGCTTAGTTCCCAAGATAACTGCAGGAAGTTAAGTCTCTATTTTTATTTCATTATATTTTTCTCTGTAGTTATATTCTGATAATAATCATGTGCCAGTATGTAAAAGGCTAATATTTAATCTTTGTAATCAAATCTAAAATAAACTAATAACACTGACAAAATGTGTGTGAAAATTTCTTTTACGTGTATTCTGCTAGCTGCATCTGATACAGTGCACCAAACTATGTAACATGGACATAACAGTAACCTGAAAATGTAAACCAACCAAGTACGTGTACGTCCTAATTACTAAATTACTAAATTAGTGAATTATTATAATTAAGTAATTATGGTCTTAATTACATGTACTGTATAGACTATAGAGCACCCAAATAAGGATATACTTCAGAATCAATCAGTAAAAAAAGAACTGAAAATTTCTGGCTCTGGCTGTTCTGATCACATTTTTTGTGTGTCCATAGATGAACTTCAGGGAAAAATATGCATATTTTCGGGTATGAAAGTAGTCATAACTTTGTTAATACCTAAGCCATGGGGTTGAATGGGATATCAAATGAAAGGTCTTGCTATGCTTTATCCAATGAGATTATTTTCTGGGCTCATTTCAAATATCTCAAAATTTTGTCCCTACATTTTGAGAACTCAAAGTCAGTACTCTGTCATACTCCGTGTGTCTTTGAGCCAACACGGTATGTACATGGTATTGTAATGCTATGGGTTTTGGAATTGAAGTTTTGTGGTGAATTGGTTCACAGGTGTAAGAAAGCTATTAAATCAAATTTCCCCTGTCAGCAAACCTGATTAATCTATACCTCTCAAAAAGCGGGATGACAAAGTTTCAGAGCATGAGACGGAATATTTTTGAAAAACATGAGATTTTTGGTCACCAATTTCTCGCTTCCACCTGTTGACTGTCGCTCCATTCATGCTGTTCGTGTTCATCAGACTGCACATGCGTCAAGCCCACCAACGACTGTGCTTGCTCCGCATCTTGGTTCGACCATTTTTGGTGGGGGGTATTTTTAAGTCTCGCAATCTGTCAGTGCTACATACCGTACATGTACATACACAGCACAGCACATGTCGTACATCGACACGTCCCGTCGGATGGATGTTTCCAAGTCACAGTGGCAGCTAGGACGTTGAAACAAGACAAGATGCCATCCTCTGTCACCGAAAATGGTCGAACAAAGATGCAGAGCAAGCGCAGTCATTGGTGGGCTTGATGCATTTGCAATCTGATAAACATGAACGGCATGAACAAATCGACGGTCAACAGGTGGGAGTGACAATTGGTGAGTAAAAATCTCATTTTTTTTTTCAGAAGTACTCTGTCTCTTGCTCTGAAACTTTGTTATCCTGCTTTTTTAGAGGTATAGATTAATCAGGTTTGCTGACAGGCATGACCAGATGGGAAAATTTGATTTAATAGTTTTCTTACTCTTGTGAAACGTTTCACAACAAAAATTTAATTCCAAAATCCCATAGCGTTAACTACAATGTACATGTACATGTACAGTGGTGTCGGTTCGAAGTCACACGAAGTACGACAAAGTAGTGACCTTGAGTTCTCGAAGTACATGTACATGTAGTCATACATGTGGAATGTCTAGCCTGAAATTAAAAGTGTTCCATACAAAAAATGTATACAGACAATACTGAGCTGAAGTGAAATTTAGCCCAGAAAATTCCAAAGCATTTTAGGCCTACTTAGAAAACACTTTTCATGCTTTCTCAGACAAGTCTCGTGTACATGTACATATAGGTTGGGGAAAGGGTCTGCTGTAGATACATGTATGGTACATGTGGGTACATGTAGATTCATTGGAATTTCACAATGTTCCAATTATTTTATTATAATGTCTTCTTAAAAGGCTTTAATGTGCATCAAATGACAAGTCTCCAACCTCCATCATGTCCATTTGCGAATGAAAGTTACAATGTATAATAAAATAGGCCTACACAATACACATACACTATATGTACATGTATGTGCACCCAAGATACATGTACATACCTGTACATACAGTACATTTTGATATAGATGCACAATACACTGTAGGTTAAATACTTGTGAACTTTTAGGCATCTTTAGACAGTGTCTTAGATATACATGTATATTCAGAAATAACATACAGTTTCAAATATCTGTATCTCATATACAATGTGGAATTGGAATTTGTGGGAAGGAGAGTGAACCAGAATTTAAATCCCCTCCTGGGGGGGGGGGCTCTCAGCATCCCCCGCCCGTAAGGGTGGATAATGATAATGTACATGTAGGTACGGTGTAGTAATAATAACCACCACATGTTTCAGTTTTCTTGCAAATCTAATCAAACATGAACAACAGGTAAGACGAAAAAATAAAACCAAAGTGCCCACATGTACATGTACAGTGTGTACATACATGTATAAGGATACTCAGTCATATTTGTCTGAATTGGGATATCTGTTAATGTTACCATGTCATTTTGTGGGTCAAATGAATATTTTTGGCAAATATTTTTAACGCAGATTCGAAGTATTTAAAGGGGGTCCGTAGATTCTGCAAATTACATTTTCATTCTTCATACTAGTACCCCTTTGCTATTGATTAAGGTCAAAAATAATGGTCACAAATATTTTTTTAAAATAGCATATCAGTGGCACTAATGCCTGGGTCCATGAATGTACATGTAGCTACACATGTATATTTAACTCTTTCTCTCCAATATCTTTGCCCTTTTTGAGGTCTGACATGTCTGAGGTAAGTACATGTACCTGTAGGCTAAATAGTAGAAATGCAATTCCACTTTCCAATCAAATTTCAGATCATAGTGCTGAGTCAATTTGAATAATTCACTATTCATGCTATTCGACTGTGTGACCTTCAATATGATGGAAGTTCAGATATTTAGTCGCACCTACTAACCATTTACTGAATCAGTTGCAAAAATGCACTCAGTTGTACATTATAATCACTATAACAGCCTCTCTCCTCTAGGACTGTCTTCATCCACGATTAAGCAAGATTGAAGAGAAGAACAATACCTCTTGCCCCAGTGAAAGTTTCTATTTTAAATTTTTTAATGAATTTACTTTTTGAATCATAGGATGTATTATTCTGTGGCTTGTCATTTCAATCTGCTAGAAACGAGCCTCCATTGTGTGATTTTTCTCGTTTAAAACAAGAAAACTCTTCCTTCATTTTTACTAATTTTGCATTCAAATTTGCAAAATAATATTCAAATATGCAATAATTGATCGAATAATCAGATATTCAGTATTTAGCACAGCCCTATACACCGTAGATAAGATCATGCGACCAGCCATTTTTTGAAAAATAATAGTGTTTACTCAACAATGTCTCATTCTCTACCCGACGGCAACAACGGTCGCACCGTACCATACTGGCACATGTACATTTTATGCGTATAGCATAGTGCATATGCAGCAGGCCAATAGCTGAGCTAGCTCCATACTGTGGGGTTCGTCGATGACAAATCCACACTTCCGGGAGTACTACATGTACGTGTAGCCCCACATGTTGATTCGACCATTTTCACCCCTGAAAAAGATTGTTTTGCCGCACAGCTAGTGCAGCACATGTCCTGCGACCTGCTGGTATCAGTCCAGTCACGCTGCTCATACTGCTAAGATTCATGTACATGTACAGTGGTTGTGCGATAAAAACAAGATTCCACCGTCAGAAGATTCGAAACATGCAATAAAAGCCGACCTCCAAGTGTATTTTGTTAGTGTGAGGAAGATTACATGCTGTGATGTTCCGTACATCACCAGAAATATGGCTTTGACTTTTAAGCGATGGACCAACCCTTCACCTTATACAGAGACCGGTTAGACTATGTCAACAAAGCCCGCTGCTTGGCAGAAGAGAATTGGAGCAATTATGAGGAGCAAGATGAAGATGAAGAAGACATGGACAGTGGCAGCTCAGTCTTGCGCAAGAAGAGAAAACCACGATATTACAGAAATCAGGTACTGGTATTTGATTTATATTATTACTGTTGGGTGCGATTGGTCGAAAAGTAGGATCAGTTGATCCTGTATGAAAACTCCAACTTAAGTTGCCTTTATCTGAAACAATTCCACAACCAAGAAGAACAAGGGAAAGGCAATTGGCTGATAGCAGAATCCTATGAAAATCATGGAGTGGGATCGACAGATTATGCAAAGATCGAGAAATCGTGCAGATCGACCGACTGCGCCTGACATCTACATGTACATTCTGCCTCCCTTCGAAGCAGCTTTTGCCCACAAGGGCACACATACTGCCATTCTCCAGTCTGCCTGTTGTAGGACTGTTATCCTAACTTCATCCATTGCCCCAACATTGTCCACGACACTGTCGAGGCATGCCAACCTTGGTTGGAAAGAAAAAATTTATGAGAAACAGAGCATGGACCAGCAATAAGTATGTGTATTGTGAAAATGTGTTGTGATTTAAAAATGAACTAGGAAACTCAAGGAAACAAAGAAGGCACCTTTGTATTCTTAGTGTCTTCTGCATTTAAGATCCCTAGAAAAGGTACACTAGCTTGGTAATATTGTACCAAGGAAGCTTTCTTAATACAAATGTTCAGTTACTTTTTAGTTGGATTTGTAACAAGACAATGTGTTTTTAAATGTACTTTACCCCAATGTGTTTTGCAGCTGATGTTATCTGAGTGGTTAGTGGATGTTCCAACCAGTCTAGCCTCAGATTGGCTAATGGTGCTTTGTCCAGAAGGAAAAAGAAATCTGATTGTTGCTGCAAAGGTTGGTATACCAAATTGTAACCATGCTACTAATAAAACACAAAAATAAACAGCCTAAAGCCCTATTCTCAAAATGCCACAAACTTACAAACCAAATCCCTTAAAGCCAAAAAGTCCCAATCAAAAGAAGCAGTTAACAAAACTAACATCCAAAAAGTGAGTATATCCAGGCTTCAACCTTAACCTTCAGAGGGTCAAGGCTACTTGGCCTCAAAGGCTCCCAAAAACCAAAGGACACCAAGGCCAACTGAAAGGGTACTAAGGCCATTTGGGAACTTTCACTTGTTGGTGACTTTGACTTTCCTTCAATTTCAACTTGATGGTTAACTTTCAACCTGCTATTTTTCATTGTTTCTGTTCACATGCTGAGCAGAATCACTGCTTAAATTGTAAAAAGTAAAAATAGATAATAGTGTACAACATTTAATTTACAAAACCCACAGCCCTGAAAACCTGTATCTCAAAAGACAACAATATCTATTAAGAAACATAAAACTCATCAAACAAATCAAAAAGCAACATAAAAGCTGAACTTTCTTTGCAGTACATTTTAAAAGGTAGTGCACATTCAGGTCTTTCTTTACCTTGCAAACTGAGAAAGGCACATTGCAGACACAATGAAGAAGTTCAGAATCCCTGATTGTCGGTAAATCAATAATTAATAGCATACAAACATCCGTGTTGATAAGCTGGTTTTTTTATAAATTAGGGTAAGACTTCAAGCTACAGTAAGAGTGGGTACCGACTGTCAGTGTTTCCATCCATGCTGCCTGGAGGTTGTAGAAAACACAAACATAACAACACAGGTAAGCAAGCAAAGTACCACTTTGGCCATTTTTTCAGATTAAACAGCTTTGTCATTGGGATTGGAAATAAATTATGACCAGTACTTCCAAAATGTGTGTGCTGAAGGCAAGACCTTCTTAACTGTCTGATAAAAGTGCTTTTATTTGACTAATTATTCCATGGTCACCGAATTGGCATTTTAACAAACATCAAAACCGGTCAAAGGCAAAACCGCCACTGACCTACTACCTCTAACACCAACTTTTAATTCCATTGGAATGTTTTTTTTCCAAAAATGTTTTTATTTGCTAATTACGTGTATTTATTATTGGTAAGGGAATAATACCAAATAAAGGTACCGGTATACATGTATGTACGTGTATGTCAAAATGTCATTCCGTTAGCCTAGAACTGTAATGGTGTAATGGTATAAGTATGTTTGAGGCATTGCTAGCCGTTGTTTTCAGTTTTGTTCTTTACATTTTATATAGAAATTTTACATAGAAATCTGCAATGCTCATTTTTTCAGGGTGAATGACACAGAGAAAAAATATCTCATATGTTCTGAGCCATTAGACCCTCTTTCATTTTGCTAACAACTTGTATGGGCAGCCAGTGTTTGCAGAAAAATTACCTTTCGGTTTCGATTTACCTCGATTCATTCAAAACGGTTGCCTTCAACCGTCTTGTTGTATTTTCATTTGGTATTTAGTAGTACGTGTATTATGATCTCGTGTTATGATAGCTCCATGGGATTTTGAACACTTTGTGATTTCTTCCTTTACTTTTGTACTGATGGCCAGCCATAGTTTTAACATCCACTTGCAGGAAAAATATGGCTGTGATGTCAGAAGAGCAGACCCTTAGAGAGACATCAATTGGATCCTTTTTTGTCTTTCAATTGATTGCAGACTATAGCCTCCTAGACTGCATCTTCCAAGAAGCCACTCGGACGTTCTATGTCCTGGACATCATGTGTTGGAGAGGACATCCTGTGTACGACAGTGACACGGAATTCCGGTTCTACTGGCTCCAGACCAAACTTGCAGAGGTTCCAGAACTTGCTGTGCAAACAAGCACCAACCCGGTGAGCATTTTCAGTTTTGTTTTTATCTTGAATTAAACCACAAAAACTATACTAACTAAGACAGTGTACCCGTCTGCTTGATACCATAGTTGAGTTAAGCACCTGGAAACGACTTGGCTTGGCCTGGCCTGACCTTCTTTTGGGGGGGCATAATTTTGTTTGTGGTTTATGGGGGGTGGGGAAATTTGTGGTTTTTGTCTGTCATCAGAAACCTTTTTCACCTTTACAATTCTGAGACAGCCTTTCCGTTGAAAAATGAACTTACATGTACACTGTACATGTAAAAAGCATTGTTAAATAAAGAACAGATCAAACTAACTTCTGGGTTATTGTATTTTCCTGAGTTAAACTTGACATTGTGTCCAGCACTGGGTACTGGAATTATACAGTGGCAATTGCTTCAGCTTTGGATTCAGATGTTTGAATAGCAATTTCCGTTGGGTCCCCAACCATGTGGTTAGTCAAGTGAGTATACTTAAAAGCAAACCCTATGTATGTACTTTGTTTGATTTAATAATAAGCAAAAAGTTGCCTCCACTCTGCGAATGGCGGTCTCTGACATTACAGAATGTAGTATACATGTTTCATGAACTTTATCACTCCTACATGTCCTAGAACCAAAGGGTTGACAGACTTGGTAAGTCGGTCTTGGGCTCTGTAGACCCACCATACAGATGCAATCTTATCCTTTACTTTGTTTGTCTTTTCCACAAACAGTACAGATTTTTGGCCTTGCCAAGCTACCCTTGTAACCAAAGTGCAATAAAGGATGCCATGGCGAAACCAGCACCATTTGAAGTAAGACCTTCATGATTTGTCATTTCTATTTTGCCAATGAATGCAGCTTGTGATCAGTGTACATGTACATACATTGCACAGGCATCTGCTCGAGGTCCCTAAGCTTGTGTGCACACTGAGGAGAGTTGGCTGTATCCAAACTATGAATGCATTGGTAGAGGAAAGAATGAAGCCTTCAGTTGGCAGCTTCCATATCAGGCTATTTACTGTGTACGTGCTCAGGTTTAGGTACATTCAGTGTGGGACGTACATGTACATGTACTTAGTCCATACATCCAATATCTGTTTGAATTGACGGTCGCTGTATGTGTGCTGGGTGCATGAGTTTGTTTCTGCATTCAGTTGGGGACCCTGAACAATAGAGGACAAGTACAAACAAAAGAGGAACAATACGGGTTCCCCAGTTGCAGGCAAATACACACTTGTGTGTGTGTGCCTGGTTGGACATCCCAACAAGCTGTCTTGTCTTTGCCGGTAAACAATGGTGCACTTCAGCCCATGGAAGACAAATCCATGTTATTTATTGTCAAACAAGTAATTCAAATGAAATCTCATTTTCTGTAGTGCACCCATGCTTACATGTAGGCACGTCCCTCATGTTCACATACCAATAAATCCCCCTCCCCCAAAAACTACCTTCAAAAATGACCATATTCTTTGCTGACCCAATATGACTCCATGACAAGCCTGCATCAGTGCAGTGCAGTGTGGTTTATCCTGTGCTGAGTAACAGAACTAGAAGTGTCTCTCTTTTTGGGATTGGGACTTGGGAGATGGTAGAACATCGTCGACACAACGTGGCATTGAACTTACCAGCTTTCATAAATGTACACATCTGTTCATACACGTGTATCTATATTTTATATGTGTACTGTGTGTGTCATCTGTCCGATTTTACATCATCAAGTTCCAGTTTAATTTGATCTTTGTTTGTTCCATTTGTTTGATCAATCTCCCGCGCAGCATACAATATCTTCACTAATAGAAAGTACAAGCACTTACATGTAACAACTGGCAATGGTAAACCCCTTTTTCAAATTTCAACAGATGACAAAATTGGACATACCTGTTTTTCAGATATTTCTTTTTCCTCTTCTCCGTGGAAATTGGGAAATTTCAAGAAGAAACCTATTAGTGAAACTTTCTTCCTGGCATATCAGTCATTAACCACAATTCATTTCTGTGAAAAGATTGCAAACCTCCTGCCTTATAGTGTCCCAATGAAATATGGAATTGATAACACTTTCCAAAACTAAAAGGGCGGAGGGGGGGGCAAGGGGATGATGCCATCCCCCGAATGGGATCCAAAAAACAAAATGTAGCCTCACCTCTCAGTTTTTGCACTCCCGCCGAAAATGTGGGTCTCGATATATCTTTCTGTATATACTGTATATCTTGACTGGATGGAAGTATTCTTTACGCATACAATATACCGGTAGGAAATAACTTTAGTGAAAGCTGGGTGCTGAATTGTCAGTCGTACCGTGCAGTAAAAATGCAGTACATATGGGGTAAGGCTTCTGCCGAAAGAGGGTTTCCGACTTAGGCATGTGTGTGGTTTATCAGCAGAGAGATGACCTGGGCTGGTCTGGTTGTTGGTCTTATTTTGACTATGAGAATGCAATAAATGACATGTACGTACATGTACATGTATGTCATGCAAGGGCGGCTGGGAAAAGTGAACATCTTGCCTGGTACATATTTCCCTACAAATTAAAACAGTTTCAAGCCCGTCAATTACCTAAGCCTGCGACTACATTCATAAACTTCAAAAATTATGCTGAAAAAAATGTTTTTGGAACAGTTTTTAAAAATTCAAAATTTTACTAGTTAATGTTGCAATACCGAAAGGTTTTCCACATTTTCTGTTTGCGTGTATCTTGTCTGGCGTTGAAACTTAGATTTGTATTATTTGATGAGAATCGTGATTGTATAAGTTGGAATGTACAGGTTGCACTGTCCACATATTCGTTGACCAGTACAACATACTGTATGTTCTCCCAACGCAAGGCGTAAAGGCTCACTGAAACACAGATTGGGTCATCCTTAGATGCCCCCACGTTCATGTACATACATGTACCATGTACATGTATATTTACGTCCCATTGCTGCAACGGACATTTAGTTGTTTACAACTGCGCATACTCACTAATAAAGCAGCAAAAAATGTTGCTACATGTACCTATTCCAAGCAAGTTCTGGAGGTTTTCGGCACGGATGTGCCCGAATCCACCCTCCAAATCTCTGTGGTTCGTGCTACAGAAAAGTTCCTCACCGGAAGGGGGAAGGGGGTTTCTATCCTGTGGGAAGAACACTCAGAAGAATGTAAGTTTTGCAGAACATGTGCCGAACGAGCAATCCAGGGAGACCAGCAAAGGCAAATGATAAGGGGAAAAGACAGAAAAGAACCCCTCAGTGAGCAACAGCTTTACACCAATATGCGAGGTGTATAAATGTCTGTAAGAGGTTTCTATCCTCCCCTGTACAGACCCCCTGTTGCCATGTTTACTGCCATGAATGGATGAGGCAATTCACATAACAGAATGAACAGGAAAATATGATTTGTCCCAAGTGTCAAAAACCTCTACAGTTCAAAGAAATCTCAGTAGTGTTGCAGTACTTCCAACAGACAATGGAGTTTGCTTCGGTCAAGTTGCAACAAATGTACAATAAAAAGACACCCCCAAATACATCTGCCAATTTTCATCTGAGGAACAGATCGCCTTACAGGTGTTGAAAAGAAAACTTCAAGACCCCCAAGTTGGTGCATCTGCAACATTCAGAACAGGTAAACAGGTAAGTCAAAATCCTTTAATATAGCATCCATGAAATTCTTAGAAACAAGTTAAAAAAGGAAACAAGTAAAGAAAATTCAGAAATTGTGATCGTGTTATACTAAGGTCTCTCCCAAGCTGAGAAATTTACATAAAAGTGACTAAAATGTGTCTTTAAAGCCTCTTTAAATGCAGGAATATGTTTAAATCAATCAATCAAGATTCTCCAATTGTCCTGATATGTAAGCTTTAAACAAACATGATGGCACCCAGCAAATAATACTAACTGACTTAAATGGGATACATGAGCAAATCTCAGCATTTATGTTTGACAATCTGAATTTTATACATGCATTGAGTTCTTAGAAATGTACACAAATTTATTACTTACAAAAAGAATCCTTTAAAGAAAGTTATTATCAACAAAACATGTCCAGCTTAGGTAAGAACTGCAGTGGGTAAAGCATCCACACATTTCCTAGCATCAGAAAGCCCGCAAGCTAAGAAGCTGATTTATTGCAAAAGGGGCCATGCTCACACACTGCACATGGTCTTTGATTTTTTGTACAGTTTTATGTTTCTGAAATAATGATCCCGGAAAGCAAATACACATACCACAGTTTTCAAAGTTCAATATTTCTGAAATCCACCTGCATGTTTTGGGCAACACAGTCTTCACAGAGAATGTGCACCCAAAAGACGTGTGTCTACCAGCATGTCCTTACAAACCAAAAGACGACGTACTACACTTGTAAGTAGCATTAACAGGCCTATCACTGGTGAGACTAGTACTAAGCAAGCCCAGTCTGTTAAGCTGAAATCCAGCCTAGAGAAGAGTTACATCAAAATAGCAGCAGCAGACTCGGACCTGTTGGCACTGACAGGTAATATGGGAATCAGCTGGAAAGGAATAGTGAATTGAAGAGGTTTGTATGGCACACAATCAGTCGTTAAATTCAACACCAATTTTTTGCGGTATTGTGAAGTTTAATGTAC